GAGTTCATGTTCAATATTAAAAAAACAATTACCCTCATATTCATCTTCATTTGATTAAGAATTATTGGATTTGACAAACATTTCATTAGTGAAATTGGTTTTATGAATGAATTTTTTTTTGCAAAACAAATAATATGATTTCATTAGTGAAATTGGTTTCATCAATAAAAACATTTTGGAAACCGTATCTAATTTTTTCATTAGTGAAATTGGTCTCATTGTCCGTCTGCATAATGAAATTTGAGCCAGATGTGGTTCAGTCAATAGAACATTTTCCAAAAATCTGAATAACATGTTTTCGTTAATGAGATTTGTTTCATCATTGAAATTGGTTTCGTGGACTCCACAATTCCAAAAACTGAATGACAATGTTTCAGCAGTGAAATTTGTTGAAATGTTTCATAAGCAAAATGGAATTGGTTTCATGGTTTCTAACTAAGATGAACTCAGTTTTACATATGAAACTAAATATTGTTCAGTCAATAAAACACTTCAAGAACTGAATAATATTATTTGATTCATTTTTAAATTCTTTTCATGTTTCCTAACCAAAATGGAATCGGTTTCATGCTTTATAGCCAAGATGAAATTGGTTTTATTAATGAAACCAAATATGGTTCAGTTAATGAAAAATTTAATGACCTGAAAACTATTATATCATTAATGAAAGTAGTTTCATGATTCCTAACCAAAATGAAATTAGTTTCATTTTTGAAACATTTTGAAAACTGTATAACATGGTTTCATTAATGAAATTTATTTTACGAATGAAAACAAAATAACATACTCAAAATCTGGAAAATATCACAACTATATTATTAATAAATCAGTAACTACTTGTGAATTGAAAAAAAAAATACCGATTCTTTTGTTATTATCACAATGAAATAAATTATTTCATAAGAAATAAACTATTACAAATATACTTTGTAATTGATGCAGTATTTTTAATTTAATAAAAGAATATAAAATATTAATGGTAATAATTATATATTAAAATCAATTGATTTATAGTTTCTCTCAAAACTGTTATTCTATTTAATCTTTCATACTTAAAAACAATTAAAACATTACAAAGTAAAATGACATTCATACCCTTATTCATTAAAAATAAAGAGAAAACATGAAATTATTTTATTGGTTGATGGTGGTTTCTTTTGTTTGCATGTGATAGGAGGTTTGCAAAGTAACCCCTAATATAATTTGGTCCAAGACTCTGTTCCACATCTTACATTTTGAACACCTCCCTGCTCACTAGCTATCTAGTTTGTGAGAGGAGTAATGAACAATAGAGTAATATAGTCTTTGAGGGTTTTGCCCGGAAAGGTGAAACAATCGCCGAACTTGTATACCACATCTATCRTTCGTGCAAGATTGAGAATAGGAGTAWGTAGAGCCCTTGAGACCGCCAYAGGTTTCAGGCACCCCTYGTTTATATCTTTCCATGCATTTTCGATAATCTTCTTGATCTCTTTMATGGCCACTTCTTCAGATACATCGTATTCCTTTATATAAGCATCGACGCYTGTAACTGATTGTCCTCGTTTCCTCTCGAACTRCATTTAGGTTTTAATTAATTACAACACATTAAWTCAATAATCATGATGATATATACTTGAATTTAACTGCAATTATGTGTTCTATATAAATGTGTTACAATAAGTTTATAGGATGCTAGCTTTTGGTCGTATTAAAAAGTCTTTAGGAAACTTTTGAAATAAAATGTTTTATTAATTTTTTTACATGAGGATATTTGAAAAAGTCTTAAATAAAATATGTGTTAATAAGACACTTTTTAGAAGTAATCTATTATATAAAAAAAAGTTAATAAGACATTTAATTTTAAAGTGTGCTAAAAACTTTAGAAGACTTACAAATTTACTGTAACACTTTATATGGGATGCACAATTGTTTGGTTTTATAAACATAAGTTTTGTAACATGGTATATGTTAGGATAGTAATTAGACATATTTTTTGCATTCTATAAGATCAATTATATTATAATGAGGGGTAAGTCGTACCTGGAAGGTCATCACATCGTCTTGTAGTCTTGAAATTAACTCGGAAGCTTTCAGAATTTTCGGATGCGTTTCATACCAAGCAAGAGCGTTTTCATTCGCAATTGCACCCATACCCACCAATGCTGATTTTGAAATCACGTTGTAGGCCGAAGTAATTAACCCGTTCTTCATATACTCAGGAAATGTAGGCACGTAACCTTTGTGTAACCACTCAGCTTCTTCAAGGTACCCCCTCGCTATTTCTTGAAACTAMTTGATAATACATTAAAAAWTTTRAAMTTCATTAGTAGATCTCATKTATACAAAAGTTACCAATAGCCAAATTAAATAAGAGCATCTCCAATGGAAGGTTGTTAAACATGGTTGACCGATTCATAAATTTTTATACAAWTGGGGGAAAAGACGGTACAGGTCGACATGAAAGGGGAGATTGAGGCTTATAAACATACACGGGTTCTTCATCAAAATAGTTAGTAATCATAATAATAAATAAAATTTAGGAAAGGGTCCGTTCATGATTGAGAGTAGAAGTTTAGTTAAATGTATAGGAAAAAGAAATCTGATGTGACAAGTTCATGATCGGAGATACTTTAACACAACTATATAGGTGGCTAGATGAAATCATACTGCTTGTTTTGAAGCATGGACATTGTATGCTCTTCCTTCGTTTGTGTATTCTTTCTCAAGTTTATCGTACTCGTTCAAAAGAATTCTGTAGAACGGTTTGATATACTCAGGAAGTTGATCGACCGCCCCAATTTCCCACCTAAAGTTCGATCAAAAATAGCTAGTTTGATATGAATTCATGATTTTTAATTAATATATATATATATATATATATACACACACTAAAGCTTGAGATTGTAATGCATATATATTGAAAAAGAGAACATATACGTATTTATTGCATCTGTGATAATCCGGATCTCGTCAATCGTAGCGTATGCATCATACGTGTCATCTAAAACCACGAGGAACAAGGTGATTTTGGTCACTATGATTCGTGCCTGAGAGTAACAAGGCTCCAGATATAACCCTAAAATCCATAGGTATATCTCCGGTACTCGATCTCTTATGTAAGGGAACGAGCTTTGAAATTTCATATCTTTCCACCACCTGGTCACACAAATTATACATGTTTTTCTTTGAACACGATGTAGTTGTGTATATCTAGAGAGAGGAAAGTTTAAATTAGAAAAGAAAAAAATGCTAACTACATAAGAATAAATTATTCATATGTGAATTTACTGGTTATTCACAAATGAAGTTGCATATGTGAATGCACTTTTTTTAAGTATATAATATTTATATAAGGCAAATAGAACAAAAAAACTCACACCCCCTCCTCACCTTTGATGAGGTTTGAATCCCTGACCTCCTAGGAGGCCAAAGACTTGCATACTGCTAGGCCAAAAGACCTTTTTTTTACCAATGATTCATGGACGAACCATTTATTCTTATATTCTCAACATTTTATCCTTCTTATTTAATCTTTTTATATATAATAAATACATAGAGAATGCCATGATCCTAAGAAGGATATATGGCAAGTTCTCAATCCYATTTCTAGTAAATTTGCAAAATTACAACTTACTGAGAGACGATACGTAGTTCTTCCTTYTGCAGTAGTTGCAAATAGTTGAAATTGACTTTAGCAAGTTYTATTATCGATTCRTCACTCRAAGATTCTTCTTTGTATGTGCTAAAATAAAGCCTCGCTTCTACCATTGGCATCCCATTRTGGAAGGGTCTCTTAAGGACTTGATTCACTTGTCGTGCTAGATTTCCCTTCAACGTGCACGYTATTTYCTTTAATCGAGTCTSAGTGAATTCCAAAGCTTCATCTAAGATATCTTCTCCTTGTAGCCTCAAGTATGYCGATTCATATAATCCCAACATACCCTTCACATCGCTCATAACATACTCCTTGAATGTACCGGTACTATTGTCTTTGAATTTGCTAAACACATMTGCATAATCATGCAAACACATAAGTCAAGTTTATTAGGATTAGCTTTACAATTTTTCGAAACAGTACAACGAAATCGGGTTTATTATAAGATGTCTAAAATATCTAAGTGTCCTAATAGAATACTTTATAGTAATTACGTTTCTAGGTCCAAATGCTTGTGCTCCTATGTAAAAGCGTTGTAAYAAGTTTGTTGCATGTCGATGAGTGTTTTAACATATTTTTAGACACTTTTAAAATAAAATGTTGTATTAACTTTAACATTTTTTGAGAAATGCCCTACTAATATGTCTTTTTATATTAACACATCATTTTATAGGACACTAGTTTTTATAATATATTTTTGGGAAAATTCTAAAAAAAAACCCAATGAACTTTAGTGTTTGGAATGATTAAGTCCCTGGAATTTTTTTTGAAACAAATATGTTCTTGGACATTTCAAAACATGTTAAATAACTCACTAGACTTTCTAAAACCTGTTTGTTGATCCCAGATCTCTCAATAACACTTATAATTTAGTTACTAATAACCAAATTATAATAATTTTATGAAGAAAGTTAAGAAGACTCAAAATTAATATATGAATATTAAAGAACAATTTGAGCTTCAAAGGTTTTACTTTATTGATAATAAAATGTAAAACACTAAGAGGATTTTTCACATATGCGCGCTTTTTACAATAGACCTAGTYGTCTATTTATACTAGTTAGCTAATGATAAGATAACTAACTATTACTACTTTCTAGCAAATATTTTAGCTAA